TAGGCTGTAGAAATGTAATGGAAGTCAATGGAATGTCCCCAAATGGATAGCTGTGCAAACTTGTGTGTGTGTTTCTTTGCATGTGCTTAGTGAATCCTCTGTTAATTAAGAGCTCATTAGTGACACCAGCTCTTTTACCAATTAGTGTGGCTTGCTTTCTTGCTCACTTGTTTGTTTTCTGGTTGAGACATTACTCAAACATTCTGCTTTATTCATTTCCTCACTTTAAATCTCTTTGTTGGGCTGGTTGTCACTGTTTCAGGATGTAAGAAAACAGAAAAATACAGATAGGGGATGTTTTCTCTGTATATTCTTCTTATTTTTTGCACCTTTGTCTTGTTTAGGTAAAGTCATCCAGTTCCCGTGTGTGTGTGTGTGTGTGTGTGTGTGTGTGTGTGTGTGTGTGTGTGTGTGTGTGTGTGTGTGGTTTCTATCTCCTCCATGCTATCAAGCTGTTGTCATGGTCTTTTATTCATCTCATTAATAACAGTACCCTTGAGGTGGAGCATCGTGACCCTGTTTTCATCTGATGAGCACAAACGCTGCCAGTTTGGCACAAAGACGCACACACTCATACAGTACACACACGGACACACAATTAACAACACAAGAGATCCTGACAGCAGCTTCCTTTGAGGCATCTCAGCCTCCAGCGAGAGCGCACAAAGACACCCGACACGCACACGCAGAGAGAAAGTATGGCCAAACATATAGATATGAGTGTGCGCCAGCAGCCTCCAAACAAGCAACAAATCCTGTCCTGTTTATAAAAGAAGAACCAGACTCTGGCTTCAGCATGTTGGAAATTGTGTTTATCAAAAGTTAAATATACTAGATGTAAGGTAGGAAATGAGCCACAAGTAGGAATAAAAGAAAAACTGAGGTACATTTTTAATATCAGCAGCAGAAATGGTCACAACTCAGTCAAACTGACCGATTTTCAGCTGAGTTTTGGTCACAACCAACAGATACTTTAAGTGCTAAAAGGTAAAGCAAGATCTCAGAATATCACAAGAGATTGTTCATAATGTTATGCTACAAGTTTTGTTTATGATTTTAAATTAAAACTCTGGCATGAGAAATTTGTTTCTGAAAGAAACACTTTGCCTTTCATTTTATTTTTCACATTACTCTCGACAGTACAGAGTGCTACGGAGTACCAAAATGTACAATTATATTTAAAACAGTTCATGTGACACAAATATCAAACTTTTTTTAAAGGAAAAGGAAGAGAAAAAAGCAAAGTTACAAAGTTTTACTAAAGCTTAGTCCGAGTGTCAACACATTAGTTTGCAATACTTTTTTTGTATTATTACATTTTACCCAAATAATCAACTTTTACAGTAAGGGGGATAAATATAATATTTTGGTAAATACTATTTTTCAATCGCCTTTTATTCCAAACCCCTGAGGTCACATGACTTTCTTAATAAATGCTTTTTAAATGTTATTTTTTTAACTCAACGTAAAGATCAGATCTCATGTAATTTACTTCTACATGTCTGTTTATGTTGATTAAACGTGTCACATTAGAGGATTCTGTCGAACCTTAATCTTTAATCTTCTGTACCTTAAAGTTGGCATATGATGCTTTTAAATCTTTCTTTTTCACATTTAAATCATTTAGCTGGGGTCTAAAGTCGAACTGCTCTAAATTCCTCCTTATTGTATTTCCACAAGCCACTCTTTCACTGAGGTGTGTCTCAGATCAACTCGTTTTGAGGCTGTCTCTTTGAATCCAAATGAGGAGCTTCACCCCTGCTGCCTCTAGACCGGTCCATTCCAGTTTAACGGAGGGGGTTACGACTATATAGCGGCGCAGAACGCTTTATTTACAAACTAATTAAAAGATGTCAACAGAAGTTGAACTTCTAGAGACTCTTAAGTACAATAAAACGTATTTAACAGCTAAAAAAAAGTGGATTTTGCACAATATGCCCCCTTTAACTCTTAGCAGCACATCAAATAAAATCTGTCAGATATGATATAGTTTTAAATAAGTAAAATTAAACTCTTGGCCGATTAGATTCATGTTGGTTTAGTTGAAAAATTTCCTCAGCTGCATTGTTTCCTCACCACCACGGTCGCTCCGAACCACAGCTTCGCGAACGCGGGGCAATCTTTTCTGTTAATGTAATGCTCACCCACATTTTGTGAGTCTGTTTAAGTCATTTTCTGCCAGAGCATGGGAAATTAGTATCTGCTGCCGCTGCGCCATGCAGAAAAAAAAAAACAATTTAGAGTGAAATTACCAGAAGTAGAAGCTCGCAGATCGAGAGCCTGAGGCCAAAGTACGAGTGTGTGCGCTGCACGTTGTGTGTGTTCGTGTGACATCTGCCATAAATCACACGCCACAGTGTCCTTGTAGTTCCAACACATATCATGAAAATCAATGCTGGGGTCAAGTCGAACAGAGCCGCTCTGCCCTCCGAAAATACCACAGCAGCCAATATATGTAGCAGGCAAATGCACACATCGACAATCTGGATTTCTCACACCATTGACTCACAATGTGTGTGTGTGTGTGTGTGTGTGGTTGTGGTTGTACTGACACAAATATCAACAAGCACAAGTCCATTATTGAAGTAGATGAGATCAGACTGGGTTCATGCAAACAAATATGATTTACAGTGGTTTGCAAAAGTATTCATACCCCTTGAACTTTTCCATATTTTGTCACATTACAACCACAAACATAAATATATTTCACTGGAATTTAATGTGAAAGACCAACACAAAGTGGTATACAATTGTGAAGTGGAAGCAAAATTTTACATGAATCAAAACATTTTTTACCAACAAAAAACTGAAAAGTGCGATGTGCAAAAGTATTCAGCCCCCCTGAGTCAATACTTTGTGGAGCCACCTTTTGCTGCAATTACAGCTGCAAGTCTTTTAGGGTATGTCTCCACCAGCTTTGCACATCTAGTGACTGCAATTCTTGCCCATTCCTCCTTGCAAAACAGCTCAAGCTCAGTCAGATTGGATGGAGAGCGTTTGTGAACAGCAGTTTTGAGATCTTGCCACAAATTCTCAATTGGGTTTAGGTCTGGACTTTGACTGGGCCATTCTAACACATGAATATTCTTTTTTTTAAACCACTCCATTGTAGCTTTGGCTTTATGTTTAGGGTCGTTGTCCTGCTGGAAGGTGAACCTCCGCCCCAGTCTCAAATCTTTTGCTGACTCCAACAGGTTTTCTTCCAAGATTGCCCTGTATTTGGCTCCATCCATCTTCCCATCAACTTTGACCAACTTCCCGGTCCCTGCTGAAGAGAAGCACCCCCAGAGCATGATGCTGCCACCACCATATTTGACAGTGGGGATGGTGTTTTCAGAGTGATGTGCAGTGTTCTTTCTCCGCCACACATAGCGTTTTGCATTGTGGCCAAAAAGTTCAATTTTGGTCTCGTCTGACCAAAGCACCTTCTTCCACATGTTTGCTGTGTCCTCAACATGGCTTCTGGCAAACTGCAAACGGGACTTCTTATGGTTTTCTTTTAACAATGGCTTTCTCCTTGCCACTCTTCCATAAAGACCACATTTGTGTAGTGCACGACTAATTGTTGTCCTGTGGACAGTTTCCCCCACCTGAGCTGTGGCTCTCTGCATTTCATCCAGAGTCACCATGGGCCTCTTGGCTGCCTCTCTGATCAGTGATCTCCTTGTTCGGCCTGTAAGTTTAAGTGGACGGCCTTGTCTTGGCAGGTTTACTGTGGTGCCATACTCTTTCCATTTCCGGATGATGGATTGAACAGTGCTCCGTGAGATGTTCAAAGCTTGGGAAATCTTTTTATAACCTAAGCCTGCTTTAAACTTCTCCAAAACCATATTCCTAACCTGTCTGGTGTGTTCTTTGGACTTCATGATGCTGTTTGCTCCCCAATATTCTCTTAACCAACATCTGAGGCCGTCACGGAGCAGCTGTATTTGTACTGAGATTAGATTACACACAGGTGGACCCTTTTGAGTCATTAGCAGTCATCAGGCAACTTCTGAATGCAATTGGTTGCACTCAGGGAAAAGGGGGCTGAATACTTTTGCACGTCGCACTTTTCAGTTTTTTATTTGTAAAAAATGTTTTGATTCATGTAAAATTTTGCTTCCACTTCACAATTGTATACCACTTTGTGTTGGTCTTTCACATTAAATTCCAGTGAAATATATTTATGTTTGTGGTTGTAATGTGACAAAATATGGAAAAGTTCAAGGGGTATGAATACTTTTGCAAACCACTGTATAAAAGTATCATATCAAAATCCTTTATGATGGAAAAAAAACGCACAACAAGGAGTAACGAGCCTGACTTTCACTCTCACCATGAATTCTTACCTTTAATGCCAATATCTTTCTGATTTCATTAAAAAATGTGTTGTTCTTGGCCTTATTTTGAAAAGAAATAGATACTATCTCCTAACCCTCCTTTGTTTTGTTAAAGTTGTTCCTGCAGTTCAATTGTCAACATGCAGGGAGCACTCGTGCAGCTTCTGCTTCAACTTCCACGTCATCTTTCTGTGTCTATTATTGATGTTTACTGGGACAAATTTGATCAATAGGATTGTTGTTGTTTTTATTGATCACTGGTGATAAAAAGAGCAGAGAAAAAAGATCTTGGAAGGGGAAAAAAGGTAATTTAAGTAAATCTATATTTCAGTTCCCATTAGTGCAAATTGTCTGTTTTTTTTTTAAAGAGAGCCACACAGAACAAACATTAGATTTCTAACAATAGAAGATGCTGGCAGGTGAAAGTCAAAACTTCAAATGAAACAGAAGAAAGCTAGTCAACAGATTCAGTCAGGGGAACAACTAAAACACCTGAAAGTAAAAAGATGTTTTTAAAGGAACCGGTGCTACAAAATAAAACAGGAAGTGAGATTACTGCTAATCCAAAGATGAAAATCAGTTTAAAACAAAAAGGAGCTGATTAACTTTTAGACACACCTGAATCAAGATGGCTGCCACAACCAACTGACCTTAAAAATACAAAAATACTATAACTCCATCAGTTTTACGTATTAACCTAAAATTTGATTTGGTAGTAAATGAGACTGATTCCCAACACACTTCCTGAGCATTAACCCATCTGTGTTTAAAACTTTGCTGTTTTGGAAGTCAGTCATTAGCATTAAATTTTCATTAACCATTAGATTTTGTTATAATTTTCCTGAAACATCAATTAACTTTAAAACTGGATAATTTCTGGAGAACAACTCAATCAAAGATGGTCACAACAGTTTAACTGGAGAATCATATAATTCAGTCATTTTCCTCGGTATTGAGATAAAATTTGGTGTGGTAGTAGCTGAGAGTCATTTACAACACATTTTTATGAGATTGTGCACAACACCTTATTTGAGGTTTGAGCATAAGAGTTACAACTCTGGCATTTTTTAAACATTTTACAAATTTGGCATGATATGATATGCATGATATATACACTGGGCTTTTTAGTGCAGCAAAAATGTCATTTTCTTTTGTTTTTTGTTTTCTTTCTCTGCAAAAAAAGACATTTAGTTGCACAAAAACAAACCAAAATCATTTCTGCATTAACTCAGACAGCTTCAAAATGTGTTCAGACAGTTACTCCAGAATAATCCATTTTATATTTACCTGTTTGATGTTAAAAAAATTTAAAAATCCGACCCCGCTAATAAAAAAAACAGACTTAAATAAGTTTTATTTGGGGAAGAATTTGTGAGCTTAAAGCTCTTTTCCCCCTGAAAATGCATTTTAATTTTTTTACAAGTTTATATTGAAACAAAGAAACTGTTATCCTGACTACTCACTCAGAAAAAGAAAATAAAAATGCTGTAACGAGTGTGAGCTTCATTTCAGCAGGAGGTCCACAGAGTGGATGACAGCAAAATGACACTCTCCTTTTCATTGTGATACCATCATTTTAAGGTCATAGTGTGCTCTGAGTAACAATGGTATAAATGTAACACACACACACACACACACACACACACACACACACACACACACACATCTTCAGGATGCGATTATTATGCAGATTCTATGAATCATTTGCTTGATTTTTTATTGTTCACTTCAATCTCTTCTCCCCCCATTCATCCGCACTCTGCTACACTTCTTCCACCTTGACTAATCACACTGTAATCGCTACACGCTACACACACACAGGCACACACACCGCACACACACACACACACCTTACCCTCCACACTGTCAAATGATCATTGAGGAGCGAGTGTGTGGCTGACATAGTCTCCACAGCAACGGCAGTTAGGACCAGGAGGGGGGCTGGGGCATCTTCAAATGTGCGAGTGATGAAGAGCACACACACACACACACACACACACACACACACACACACACNGACGGATGATGAGAGACGGCTGAATATCCACCGCAGACATGTAAACTAGAGTCATGCATGTAAACATATCGTGGAAACCTTCAGTCACTGTTGAGAAACAGCCGACCACAAACTGACAGAGAGGATGAACTGGACTGGAGAGATAATAATGTGCTTTCACAAATGATGAAAACCATTTCAGTGATGTGTTGAAGATGACTCTCGGCTACTACCACTTCAAATATTAGCTCAATATATAAAATCGACTGAGTTGTGGCCATTTTTGTGGTTTTTACACGCTGTGTTAGCCATCTGGAATTTGGGTGACGTCAACTCAACAAATACCTCTTGAGTTTCATTTAAAATCCATCCACTGGTTCAAGAGATATTTTGCTAACAACACAGACACACTTATTGTCTTGACTTTTAGGAGCAGGTGATGGTGGGAAAAAAAAGCAAAAAGGGAAAAGAATGTTTGTGTTTTGCAAGAGAGTTAAACTAAAAACAGATATTTTTTGTAAATGTTTTTCTTTTGTGCCCCCCCCCCCCCCACACACACACACACACACACACACACACACACACACACACACACACACACACACACACACACACAAGAAGCAGGTGCACACAACCACACACCAAGGAGTCAGTTTTGACACACCAAGCCAGAACCAGGGAAGTAAGAAAAAGGATAAAGGTGGTGGTGGTTGTGGGGGGTGGGGGGTGGTGGTGTGCTTCCTGAATGATTTCCTTCTTCTTCCTGTCTTGTTCACATGTTCACACACAAACACACACACACACACAAAGACTCACAATGACAGAGCAACACAAAATCACTTCAATTCAATCATTTATACAAACAGATGAATAATTCAAAAAGCAGCATGAAAGTTTAACAGAGAAAAGGAAATTGTTGAATTCGCCTCCTGCCCTCTAATTGCACCCCATCAGTCCCATCTCTTGTGTTGCCCCCAACCCCCGGGTTTAAATCACTGACCCCAGTCTGACCCGGGGCAACTAAAAAGTCAGAGATCAGAGTTCAGCATTCACAGGACAGACACGTCTGACTCTGTGCAGATTTAAACCCATTTCACATGAAATTGTTCCAGATTTCCACACCTCCTCCTCCTGAGCTTCCTGCTCCGCCTCTCTGTGGCGTCGTACCGACACTCGGCTCAGGCAGGTTTACAGCACCTTTCTGTTGTCACCTCACGCCTGGCTCCACGCTGAGCCACTTGTCACTGCTGCTTAGAAAACAACAAAACCTCCAAACTGAGAGGACGCAGAAAAAAAAAAAAGAAAGGTCGAGCTGATTGATGAAATGCATATCATCCACCAACTGTCATGCCACTGTGAGACGGGATCTTGGCTAACTTCAAAAGGAGATCTTAGCTCAAAAAATAAAGTTTGGGCACCGCTCACACACAGAGATCTGAGTCAAAAAAAGATCTTACCTGGCAGGTAGAAGTGCGAAGACTTTAATCCGAACATGTCTGGGAATCCCTGCCTGCAGAACCTCAGAGAACCTGGGTCAGGATCAGGATGTGGTGTGCTGGGTTTAAGGAGCCTGTTGTGGGTGAAAGTCATTAGATGGCTCCCTTTTAGGCCCCGCTGAGCGGAGACGGGGGTGGGTGGCGGGGTGAGCGAGGACAGGGCAGGAGGGAGGTCAACCTCCGTCTCCCCTCCTCCTCACCTCCTGGAATGAACCCGTGTGGAGATCAGAGACGAGCGCGGCGAGAGAGCAGGAGCAGAAGGAGACGGAGAGAAGAAGAGGATGGAAAGGAGGAGAAACGAGCTGGAGGAAGCTGAGGACCGGTCCGTGTGCTCTCATGCCATCTTTCACTGAGGAACACCGTCTGGGAGGATGAGCTTCTGAGAGAGCTGGGAGGGTGACAGGAAGGGTAGAAGGAGGAGGAGGAGGAGGAGGAGTGAGGAAAGAGAGTCTTCAGTCGGCGCCCTCTTCTCCTTTTTTCTTTACTCCTTTGCTTTGTAATCCCTTCCTTGTTATTCATTCAGCGGCCTCTTGCTCGTTTGCTGTATAATGATGTGTTTTTGTGCTCCTCGCTGCTTTCTTCCTTTGCCTCAGTCCCACCACTGACTGCTCAGATCAGTGAGGAGGAGGAGGAGAGAGGAGAAGAAGAGGGAGGAAGAGGGGAGGAGAATCATAAGATGTGAGTGAGGGAGAGATGAATGACTGTGTTAGTGCAACACACACACGACTCTCTCTCTCTCTCTCTCTCACTGTGTGTGTGTGTGTGTGTGTGTGTGTGTGTGTGTGTGTGTGTGTGTGTGTGTGTGTGTGTTAGGAGGAAACAAGAGGGGGAAGAAGGGCAGGGATAATGG